CAGGCTCCTGGGCAGCGGTGGGAGTGGCCAGGGGCCACTTTCGGGAGGGATGGACGTCCCGCCTGCCGAGGGCTGGGGCCCTGCGGCCACGCTGCAGCCGTCTCTCTGAGGACCAGGAGGAGGCCGGGCAGGCAGATGGTGGGTGCGGGAGGTGGTGTCCACGGCACCTCGTCTCTTTGGAAGCATTGGCGCACTCACCCGCCCTTGGAGCCCGCCTGCCTTCATGTCCTTCCGTGACCGTCGGCTGCTCCGGTTGCAGGAGATAAGTGGCCGATCGGACGGTCTGTGTGTTCTAAGTCAGACAGCTGTTTCCTGGGGTAGCTGATCCCAGCCGCCGTGTTCAATGGCGACGCCGCAGACTCTCCTGCTCGGGTCCCCGAGGAGGTCCCCGTCCCCACCCCCCGCACTCCCGTTCCGGGTGAGAAGCCGCTGCAGGACTGGCTGCGAGGGCTGGGAGCCCCGGGCTGTGTGTCAGGAATCGGACACTTTCCCGCCCACTTTTTGGCCCACACGAGGTGTCCACCTGGACCAGGTCAGCTGCCCAACCGCAGAGACACTGGAAACCCTGGGGCTGGGGTGTGTGGGCGGGCACGTCCGGCCAAGGGAACAGGTGCTTTTGGAGGAGAAGGCAGGCTGCCCACTCGGGGAAGCTCTCTGAGTGTACCTGTCCCTGCCGGAGCCGCTCCAGCTGCACGGGGGGGGGGGGGGAGTCCTCCCACGGACGCAGCTCCCTCGGTCCTAGAGCCCCCGAGGGCGTGTCCTTCGCCCCACGTTTCAGCCTTGGAAACCGCTCCCGGAAGCTGGCGACTCCTCTCCCTTCTTCACAGCGCGGTCCAGCGTCTGCTGCCCCAGGCCCCACACTGCCCCCATCGGCTCTCAGGGCCCCCGCCGCCAGCGTCCCCCCTCTCGCTCGGGCAGCTTCCTGTGCGGTTCCTCTCAGGGGTCCCGATGGCCGACACCCAGGGTCTGGGGGAGCGGACACAGCAGTGGCTGATTCCTCGATTGTAGTTGAAGGAAATAACAGGCAACCAAAGTGACACAGGCTACGTTTCACGTTCTCCACACGGAGGCTGCATGTCTGACTCGGTCTAAAATGCAAGCCCATGTGCGCCGGAGAACCGCCAGGTCAGAGGTCGTCTGGGAAACTGTCCTCGGAACCTCAGACTCGGGGCTGGAGGCCTTTGGACGCCACGGCCCCGCTCCTCTGAGGACAGGGGGCTTCTCAGGGGTCCTCAGTGTCTTCTGAGGAGTCCCGGGCGGGCCTGGCAAGCGCAGGGACAGCGTGAACGGCCAGGACATCCCCCAGACATTGTGGGCAGATGGAGGCATGAGGTTTTCATTTTCTGGCTCCTCGAATCACAGCGCAGACCAGGCCGGGGACCCTGGCAGGGAGCGTGATGCTGGACGGAAACCCCGCCCCTGGCCTCGGGGCTCTGGCCGGGCCCCACAGGTGTTGGGGGCTTCTCAGGAGACGCCTGAATCGGGTCTCCTGTCCTCGGCACGAACTTGACTTTGTTACAAGGGCTGGCCCCGAGCGTGCTAGGCCAGCGATGGGCCCCCAGGCCTCTGTCTGTCTGAGGCTGCGTCAGCGCTGGACGGCGTCCTCTGTCCTTCCGTCCCTGCACCCGCGGGGCACTCACTGAACTGCGGCTACAGCAGACTCCGCGGTGCCCCGCCCCATCTCCGCGCCCGAATCCCTGGTGCCTGTGACTCTGCCGCCTTCCGCGGCAGAAGGCCACTTGCAGACGTGAGCGAAGGTCAGGACCTTTATGTGGGAAAGTCGCTGGGAGCCACGTGGGGGTCCCCAGGGTGTCGCCAGGGTCCTGAGCAAAGAGGGCGGGGCAGGGGGGCAGGTTGGAGTCAACACCCGGATTCGGGTTACCCTGGAAACCGGGAATGATGACGCGCCCTCGACAGGCAAGTCGCTGGGACAGGAAATGACAAGGTGGAGACAAGCCACAGCTTCTGTGGTGCCCCCCTTGGGCCCTGCGGGGGGGTTTTCCTCGGTTTTAATGACTTCTGCTCAGAAAGTTGCTGACCCAGAGAAAAATCATTACAATCTAATTTTCCAGTGGTTTCCTCCGAGGTGTAAATGACGCCCCCTCCCTCGAAGAACCGGGTGGCGCTCGCATTCAGACAAGTGACTCCGATGGATAAATCATTCCCCGGACGAGAAGGAGCCCACGTGTGAAATGAGAGTGAGATGTTTTCAAAGCTTCTTCATTTAAAGACAGGACACTGATCAATACGCAGCGTTTTTCGTGATGGAAGGGGCAGCGGGGTGCCGGCCAGGCAGCTGCGCCGTGACCCCAGGCCCCAGGCCCGGCCGAGTCCCCGCAGGCTCGCAGCGGAGTCCCCGTGGACTCGGGGAGAAGAGGCCGGGGCTGCCGAGTCCCCGCGGGCTTCAGGGGCTGGGCGGCAGCGTCGGCCCGTGGGCGTTCCAAATACGCGCTTGAAGCACATTTCTTAACACCCCGCCCACGCGTGTGTTTTTATATCTGACGACTGCTGGATGAATATTAAAATCACGAATTTGCATTTTGGGCAAGGCGCGGCGACCTAGCAACACTGACTTGGGTCTCAAGCGTGCAGACACAAGGAAAGAAATCCCATTTTTCAAAACAATCACTGGGGATGTTTTTTTTTTTTTTTGGACAACTTTTTTGGAATTATTTCCAGGAGATGGTTTTAGAACCGCAAAGGAGCTCGACCCGTCAGGTCGGCCTTCCTCTCCCCGGGTGCGCGCACGGACTGACCTCTGAGTACCCGACCTCCGACCTCCGGAGCCTTTGGACGCAGCAGGACTGAGCTCCCGCCCACCCCGGCGGCGGGAGGCTCTGCGTCCAATCGGAAGCTCGGCCCCACTGACTGACAGGCGGCGGCGGCGGCACTGTGCAGGTGCAGCGGTCTTCCCCGTCCTGCTGTGTGCCTGCTCTTCCAGAGGGGGCGCTGTCCCTTCTTCGGTGCTTCTCACACACCTGCGGCCCAGACCCCACGGAGCAGGAGGAGGAGGGGGTGCTGCGAACACTCGCTCCACGGGGACGCGGCAGGGCTGCTGCGCGGCTCCCCCCGCCCCCCCCCGCGCCCCCGCGGCTCCCATTCCTCCTCTCCCCCCACTCCGGGGCCGCCCCCCGACCGTCCGGAGGGAATCTGGACCCCAGGACGAGCCCGAGGCCCGCTGGAACCTCGGAGAGAGGCGTCTTCTGCGATGTGCTGGGCGCACACGTTTAGGGACCACGGAAGGACCCGGGGCAGAGCGGGCGTTCGTGGGTCAGGGAGTCAGTCTCCGACCCGCACCGATGCTCGCGGCGCCTCCACGAGGTCTGTTTCAGTCCGACTCCACCGGGACGGCAGCTCCAAAACGGCCCGGCCGCGTCCCGCGGGGTTACTGTCGCCCCGGCGCAGGTCTGGGGGCCACGCAGCGCTGAACCGTCCCTTGCTCCTCGCAGACACGCAACCACGTCGGCGGGCATGTCGGTAACGACCCCGTGACGGGTGTTTGTAACCCAGCGGTCGAAAAGCGCCACTCCCCCGGGTTTCTGATCCGCTCACTCTGCACCTCTCCTTCCCACGAAGGGCAGAGGAGGGGTCCAGGCCTCCGCCAAGGGGGGAGGCAGGAGGAAGGGGGCAGCTCAGAGGCCAGCAGAGGCCAGCGCCCTCGATGGCGCCGGGACAGTGTCCGCAGCCCTGCAGACGTCACCGGGCGGGAGGGCCGGCCCTCCGCCCCTCCCATCCCCTCCCCTCCCCCCGCGGTGCTGCAGAGCAGGGCTCCCTGCGACCACGGCCCTGCAGCTCCACGCAGGGATCTCGCAGCCTCCGCCGCTGGAGCCGAGAACAGAGAACAGGCACCCGGGACCCGGGCCTCTCTGGAAGCCAGCCGTTAGTCCTGCCTGCGGAGCAGGCTCAGCTCCCCCTTCCGCGGGGCGCCCCAGAGACGGGAACAGGCCAGGCCCTGGACGGAGGCGCGGGGCTGTCCGGCTGCTCCTGCTCTGCGCTGCCCCCCGGGCACTTACTCTTGAAGCGCCGGCCAGAGTGGGCTTTCCCAGCGGCGCCGGTCCTGCGGCTGGTGATTACAGGCGCCCCCCCCCCCCGCCCCCGCCCCGGTCCTTGCTAACCCTTCGGTGGGCGCACAACACGCCGGGTCCTGCCGCGGGGCCACACCCTGCGGGACCGTGCTGCGTCCTGCCCCCCACTGGGGGTCCTGATGCCCGGAACCGCAGGCCGCACCCTGCCCTGGGCTGCTCAGGATGGCCCTCAGTTCCTCTGACCCGGCCCCGCGGCGCCCTCCCCAGTGCGGCCGGCTCCTAGCGGCTGGGCCACGTGTTACCGCCTGCCCGGCGCTCTGCTGTACGCGCGTCCCCGGCCGGGTACGTCCGCGAGCCGCACACGGGAGAGCAGAACAGGGCAGAGAGGTGCCGGGCAGCGCCATTCAGTGGAGGCGGTAAATCTCCAGGGGGTGGATGCGGCTTCCACAAACGCCGAAGGAAACGGTGACACTGGATCCGCCGCCCAAGACGCGCCGAGGATTTATGCCCACCACCGGCTGCCGGCAGCAGCAGTGAATCACCTTTATGGGTCCGTGTCCCGAGCGCGCGGACGCAGCCGCATGCTGCCTGGGCGGCGCCGCGGCGTCTCTGCCTGTCGGCTGCCTCGCCGCGGCCTATCCCACTCCGACGGTTAGAAGGCAATCCCCTTCCCAACACCACTACCTGCATCTTTCCCCGCACAGAACCTGACAAGTCAGATGACTGTTCCAAAAACCAGGCCATTATGGGTTTCGCTGTAAGAGAAAGAAAGGTCGCCTGTGAAAGAATGTTTCTAAATGCCACTGCCGGCGTGACGACACGACGAGACAGCGTGACAAGTGCGATTGGGGAAAGTCACCAAACACCTGGGGTGCGCGGTTCACCTGCGGGGAAGGCCCGCGGCTCCCTCCGGGAGAGGGTCGGGGCGCAGGCACCTGCGCGGTTCCACCAGCAGCCGGCCGGGGGCGCTCTCACCTGCCGCGGGCCTGACGGTGGAGGTGGCGGGGCAGGGCGTCAGCGCAGGGAGGCACTCGTCGTCCTGGGAGTAGCCGGCCTGGATGGCCCGGAGGTAGCTGTGGCTCCGCGTGCGGAAGCAGCCGGGCAGGTCCAGGGCGTCCATGGCCTGAGACTCGACCTCCCCGAAGACGGACTCGCACACCGACTCGAACTGCCCGTTGACCTCGGCCTCGCTCATCTGCAACAGAGGAGAGGTCGGCCGGCTCTCCCACCGCCCACCGCAGGACCCAGCGCTCCAGACGGACCACCCCCGGCTCCCGCGGCCAGCAGCGCGGGCACCCGCTGAGCCCGGGACGCAGCTCGCGGGGGATTCCTGACAGGCCAGCAACGGCCAGTTCCAACACGCCCCTGCCGTTCCAAGGGCCCTGACCCCCACGACTGCGTTTGGAAGTCTGGCCCCGCGCCTGGTGCAAAGGGCCTGTTCAAAGTGTGAGGGACTTCGGCCGCCGCTCCCTGTCACCGTGGAAACCAACTCCATTTGTTCATAAGCTCGTCCTGGTCCCCAGGACAGCTGGGTGCGTGTCTGTCTGCACCCGACCAGCGGCCTCACCTAATTCTTTTCTTTCTCGTCTTCAGCCTGGGATTTCAGCATACTCACCGTATTCGGTAGTTTTCCAGGTAAAGTAATTATGTTCAAGTCTGTGGTTTAATTTCCGGGTATGGAGTCACTTGGGAACCTAAAAGTTCCCGAGGTGTTTTAAGCAAGGACCCCGCTGGGACTGCGGAGGGACCCCGCACGCAGAGGGGCTGGCCCCTGCGGTCGGGTGTGGCCTGCTGGGGGTGGATGCCCCGGGCGGGGGCACACCTCTCCCGGGAGCTCTAGCTAGCAGTGCTCGTGTGTCCCCCGAGTGCCGAGTCGGGGGGGTTTGGCCTGGAAACCCAGCACAGCGAACTGTGGGACTGCACAAGGTGGACGCGTGTGTGGTGGGAGAAAGGACAAGGGTGTAAGGGTGGAGAGTGGACCCTGGGCCGTGACTCGCAGCCGCTCACAGGCCTGAGGCCGAGGGGCGGGGGGCTCTGACCCCATCTGCCACGGGACAGGCGGTGGCTCCGAGCCCCATCGTGGGGCCCAGTCCCAGCGCAGCCGGGGAGGGAAGGCACTGGGGGTGGTGACTGACAGGCCCCGCCCGGGGCCTGGCCTCAGCCTCTGGGGAAGCGTTCCGTGTAAGCCCGAAAGACCCATGAGCTCAAGCGCTAGTTTTTAAAGACAGTTAAAGTCGTTAAGCACTGTGTTTAATTAAAAACGTGGAAATCCACTTTTCTGCATCCTGTGGCATATGGAGCTGACAACGCCCAGGTCCTGATTCTTCTCAGCGGGCTCCTCCCCTGGGTCTGCCCTGCCCGCCCCCCCCCAGGGCCCGCCTAGCGCTCGGTCTTTCCCAGGGGCCCTGGGTGACACCCTGGGAGCGACACCGAGCACCACGGCCTGTTTGTGACTCTTCACGAGGAAGGCAGTGCGAGCCGACCAGTCGGCGGGGGAGCTGGGGACGGGCAGCGCGTCAGAGGACGTCGACGGGAGGGCCGCAGTCAGGGACGCCGGGACCACGGAATGCCGCAGGCTCCCAGGTGTGTCGTCAGTGAGAGGCCGCTGCACGTCTGCCTCGCCCCGCCCCCGGACCTGAAGCCTCCAACTGCGGCCCCCGCCCCACCCGCAGGACAACTTCTGGAGTGACACGGCTCTACCCTCTCAACCCAGGGGACAAGGGAGCAGAGGCGCCCCCACCTGGCTCACGCAGCTGGCCTGGCTCAGCGTGCTGACCGCTCTCATGTAGCTCTGGTTCCGCGAGCGGAACTTCGGGGAGCTGTAGTTGGCGGCGGGGTCCAGGCTGTGGCTGGCAGGCCCGTCGCTGGCCGCCTGCAAGTAGCTCTGGCTGCAGAGACAGAAAGGAGAGAGACGCCCCATGAGCGGCACCGGAGGGGCGGGGGCTCGGTGATCCGCGTGTGAGCCGACGCCGAGAGGCCGCGGTGAGATTTCCAGCCCTGGTCTGTCTGCCGACAGACTCTTTGCCTCCTGTAACTGGTCCCCGAGTTCACATTCACAAATGCGAATTTCATCGAAAGTAACAGGGGAGTCCGTGTGCGGAACTGCTTCGGGTCCTGATGTTTCATGGGCCGGCCGGGCACCAGGATCACCTCCTCGCTTCTAGGAAAGTGCCGAGAAAGGACCGGGCCCCCGAGCCGAAGCCAGAAACCTGTGGACGTCTCATAAAAGGCGGGTGAGCTTTTGGCAACTCCGCCTGCTCGGAAAACAACAGGATGAGTCCGAGGCCTCTGGTCCTAACCGAGGTGGGAGTCGTCCAGTCGGGCAACGCGGGTGGACGAGGGGCAGCCGGGGAGTTAGAGACACGTTACCCTCAGCAGGCATCACTGCTCCCTCCCCACCCCCCTCCGAAGGGTTTGCTCTGGCTCCCCTTCCTGGGATTCAGCCGCGGAAGCACAGGGTGTTTCCCGGAAACTCAGATTTACGTAAGGAAGCAGGGGCCTGCTGGGCCGCAGCAGAGGTTACCTGCCAGGAGATGTACCTGCCGGGAGGAGACTTGGAACCGCAGACACATCCAACCCCCGACCCTGTCCCCTCAGAAACGCAGTGGACATCTCACGTGGGCCGGAGGAAGGAGAGACAGGAGACACTATTCTTACACTAAGTGTGGAATTCCTTCCACACTCGGGGGCGTCTCTCCACTTTCACCAAGGAGACCCGACGTGAACAGCGGGCTGGGCGTCACTGCGTTCCACGGAGGTGGGATATTCTACCTGGTGTGGGGTGCACGCGTGTGGGCAGGTGTGGGCACGTGTGGGCCGTGTTCCTCCGCCCACATGGGGATTACGCTACTATTGTCTCCCGCAGGCATTGCACGTAAACTGGAATCCACTGCCTGGTCTGACACGGCGCCTCAGACCACAAGCGTCCTCCCAGCCATGAGTTCGGAGACGCGGGCCTGCCTTTCCCCGTCACATGCTCCCGTGGAAGCCAGTCAGCCTCTGGCTGTGGTGGGGACGCGGCCTGGTGGGTGCACCGCGTCCCTTCGAGGCCTGTCCCTGAGGCCACAACAGAGGCTCCCGGGGCCACGCCGCCACTGCGTCGGCCTCCCGGTGCTCTCTCCGAGTGTCCCTGCAACGCCCGCAGCCACCGCGGGTCCTCAGGGAACCTGCTGGCGGTGGCTGTGTGGCCCCAGAGTGTGTGCAGGGTGGAGTGGGGGCCTGAACCGGCGGGGACTGGGGCCGGAGCCTTGGAACTAGCGACCAGGCTGAAGAAAGCCAGGGCCCAGGCTCCGGCACAGCCGAGACGCACACACGGGTGTCTCCCTGCAGAGCCTGTGTTCGTGTTTGTCACCAGAGGGCCCCAGGTGCCTGTCCTCCCCAGGACAGAGGGGCCACGGAGTCGGCCGGGGCTGCGTCGGCAGGGAGCCGGGCCACTGGAGTGAGCAGGGCCCAGAGGCCTTGACCTGCTGGCGGGAACGGTCCCGCCCTGCGGAGGCGTCTGAGGCAAACCCGGGCGGGAGAGGAGGCACTGAGCGAATGTGGCAGACGCCCCGGTCCCCCCGCTGGCGTGGGAGATGGGGGCGGTAGGGCTGTGACAGAGGACACCCCCGGCGCCCGGGTGGCCGGCTCGGGTCCCGTCTCACTGACACGAGAGACGCTGAGGAGCCGGGAGACTGGATCGGCTTCACCACATCTTGTCAATGGACGGTCTCACTTTTGGAACCCTTAAACGTGGTCACGTCGTGGGTGCCCTTCACGGCCCTTCACCCATCAGGGCGGTCATCAGGGTGGTCGGCTGTTACCCCCGACACGCGCGAGGCTCCCGGGACGTGAGTTCTACTCCCTTGTTCAGTGTGTCGGCGGCACGGGTGACCCACTGCACCGGGACGATGCCGGGCGAGGACGGAGGAGGTGTCTCCCGGCCTCAGTGCGAACAGGCCCCGGGGAGGAGACCTCGCTGGAGGGCAGGAGCGGGCGGCGCGGGGCTGGAGGGGGGACACGGCTGCGCGGCCCGGGAGGCCTCTGCGGGTCTGCGGTGACCGGCTTTCACCGGGCGCGGGACAAACCACCGCTCTCTGAGCACAGCTGGCCCACGGGCCCTTCCGCACCTCGAGGTCAGGACTCCGAGTCCGAGGAACTGCAGCTCCCGGAGAAACGAGCTGAGCCTCTGTGACGGCGTCTAAAGTGCCAGCGAGTGAAACCACGTGGAAACCTCTGACACTCTCAGCAACAGCAGGGTGCGCTAAGAGGCCGTGACCACCACTTAACTGGCCAGTGGCACGACTGCCTTTGTAACGGAAACTTCGGCACTAGTCTCAGGAAGGGCTCTGCAAGTTAGCAGAGTTCAATGGGTGGGAGTCAGCACCTGCCCCCACCTGCTGGCTGGCTGGCTGGCTGCAACAATAACTCATGGAATAGACGGAAAAACGGACCCGACCGCTGGACGGCTGTGCAGGCCCAGTGGGGAGTGGTGTGGGGTGGCGGCGTGTGGGGAGGTGATAAGGGTGTGGGAGTGGGGAGAGGCCAGGGGCCGAGCTGCCACAGAGCTGAGGTCAGGGCTGTGGAGGCCGGGTCTGGCTCCTCCCCGCAGGGCCCCTGTGCGTGGGCGCTGCGTCCGGGGGTCAGGAACCACGTGCAACGCGCCCGGCCTGATCGCCACGCCCGCAGATGAAGAGCTGCGTCTGCACCCAGACTCTGCGGCCGCGGCCTCGGCCTTGTCGTCAGTCTGTGGGTTGGAGGGCCTTCTCCCGCTCTCCGCAGACTTCAGTAAATCTGAACCCTGTCCGCGTAGGCGCCGGGGGTGGGAGCCTGGGCGTCCCTGAGACGCGGCACGGGCCGGTCTCTCCCTCGGAGGAAGGAGGTGAGTGCACCCCTGCAGGTGAGGAGCGCAGGGCCGGCAGAGGGTGCGTGGGCGAGCCTGGGCGTCGGCAGGCGCGGCAGGACAACAAGGATCTCAGCGCCCACCCCTGGCTCACGGCTGACCACCGCCTGCTTTCTCTCTGTCGCCGCTTACAGCCCCGCCGCAGCCCCGCGGTCGCTGCTCCCGGCGGTCTCAAGGCTCACACGCGCCTCCGCGGGGGGTGCGCGTCCGCGGGGCGGGGCCTCGGCTCTGCGCCCCGCCCTCCCTGCCCCGCCGACAGTGGAGAGCGATGGGGTGTCGGCCTCCCCGCCCCCGCTGCACAGTTGCTGGGGGACTTAACGGAACTCGGTGAGGACGTGGTTCGGCCCTGGCTGCTGTAGCTCAGTGGATTGGGCGCGGGCTGCGAACCAAAGCATCTCAGGTTCGATTCCCAGCCAGGGCACACGCCTGGGTTGAGGGCCAGGTCCCCAGTGGGGGCCACGTGAGAGGCAACCACACATGGATGTTTCTCTCTCTCTTTCTCCCTCCCTCCCCCTATCTAATAAATAAATACATAAAAATCTTTTCAAAAGAGACCTGGCTCACGCCTGGGAACTTCACAACTTTGACTGCGGCTGCGACTCCACATTTTCAGTCTCCCTCCCGGGAGCTGATGCGACGATGACGGTGGGAGTCACCCCGACGTTTTGCTCGTCCCTCTGTGCCCCCGGCCCCGGAGGGGGCGCCCCCAGAACAAGACCCGGCTGGGAGCTCCACCGCCTCCCGCACGGGCGACGAGCCAAGGTCTGGGGCCGCGGCGGCACAGCACCGGCGGGCCGGCTCACCCTGCCGCTGGCCTCCACGCAGGACAGCTGACCGCCCACCCGGGACCCGTGCAGGGCTCCCCACGTGCCCCCGAACCCAGCTGCCGGCCCCCGGTGCCCCCCCCCACCAGCGTGACGCGAGAGCGAGGACGGCCGACCCACGGAATGGCTTTCTCTGTTTTGGAGCCTTACCCATAACACGGTGGCGGGTGCTACCACATTCGCAGAGGGGTCCGTCTCCCGCCCTCACCCTGCGAGAGAAGGGGCTGCCTCCAAACACACTTGCGAAGTGACAGCAAAAGCGCCCCGTGACGAGGAGTCTCGCACACTCACGCACACTCACACTCACACACTCGCCCACCCACAGACGTGCTCCCAACGAACACGCTGGAATGACCTGGGGGGCCACTGGGGGACCACCCTGGCCAGGATGACCACTCTCCAGTGACCCCTGGACGTGGCGGCCGCCCCCGTCCAGTCCCCCCATGGCCGTGGGGTCGGTCAGTGGGTCAGTCGGTCACCCAGGCCCGGCTCTTTCTGGAGGCCTGCGCTCCCTGAGGGCCACGCAGTCCGGCGTTGTCAGCTCGGAGACCGGCTTCGGTGGGGGCCCGCGGCCGGCTGCTGGGGGCGGGGGTCTGAGGCGGGAGGCGCGTCCGGACCGGCGGGGGCGGGGTGGGGGGCCTTACGTGTGCAGCCCCGCCAGCGAGGTGAGCAGGGGCTCCGGCCGCAGGGCCACCGTCGGGGACGTCTTGGGGCTGGAGTCCGACTCCCCGCTCTCCTCGTCGCCCATGGCTTTGATGTAGCTGCCACTGCGCATCCTCCGGCAGGGGATCCCGTCCTTGCCGCCCGCCGGATACCCGGCCCACTCGTCCTGCGGCACCTGGGGGGAAGAGACACACCGCGTCACCCGTCGGTCCCCGGGGCGGCGGGTCCTCCGCGGTCCTCAGAGACGCAGCGCGTCCCGGCCGACGATCCTCGTGTGAACGCAGACGCCCGGGTCGGCGCTGCTGCGGGCTGTTCTGCCGCGGAAACCCCAAACGGCCGTCAGCGCAGGGGGAGCGAGAACCTGCCGGGACAGCGAAGTGAGGGAACCCCCGTCACTGCAGCCCCCGGGAGAACCAGGACGTCCCTCCAGCAGCGTGGGACTGCGGCCGGGAGAGGACGGGGGGGGGGGCGAAAGGGTCGCCCCGCGTGGAGGACGAGGAAGAGGGGGAGCAAGCCCGAGGCGAAGGAGGTGCCCCCCCCAGTGTGGTGAGGGTGCCCGGCGGGGGCAGAGGGAGGTTTGAAAACCGACGCCTGGTGGTCCCCGCGCCAGGTCCCTGCACTGCGGAGGGGGCAGCTCGGCGTGGGGGGCGTCCCAGGGAGGGGGCAGGGACAGACAGACGGCAGCAGGCCCTGCCGCAGAGGGACCCCTGCTGGGCGCTTGCAGGACGTCTGTGAACCCAACACACAGGTTTCCCCGAGAGACGGCGCACACACTGCTGACCAGCAGCCCGAGAGGGAAGCCAGCCTGGGCCCCCCCGTGTCTGACTCTCGGGGCCAGTGCCGCATTGTCCACAGAAGCGGCTTCGGCGCAGGAGTGTCAACCAGAGCCGGGCTCGGGCCACGAAGGCGATTCCACAGTGTATGTGGGGACTGTCACTGGGACAAGGAGTGGCCCCCAGGGGCCTCGGTGACACCCGGTGGCCGGCTGGCCGGCAGTGCGTGGGCGAACCCCGGCAGCGCCTGGGAGCAGCGAACCTGCTGCGTCCCGAGATAAGGAACGACCCTCGTCGCCCCCAACAGAGTGAAGGGGACAGGGGGACAGCCACTGCTTCTGAGCCGCCGTCTTCCTGGGGTCGACAGAGTGCACCGCTGGCGTCTCTGCATCTGGCTCCAAGGACACCTCAGGTCCGCGCATGAAATGTCTCGCTCTCAGGCAGTGGTGTGTGTGTGTTGGTGGGGGGGCGAGTTTTGTAACAATATTCTCTCCGGGGGGTTCAAACCACGGGAGGAAACGCCGTCAGATGCTGTGGTCCCCGGGGTAGGGTCTTCCTCACGCATTCCACACGCTGTGTCCCGTGCACCGCCCGTGGGCTGCCCCCGTCCCCGGGGACCCCTGCAGGGCCAGGCGCCGGCTTCCGAGTCGCCCCGTTTCACAGTGAGTGACGGTGTGCTGGTGGCGGTGCCGTGGGGCAGGTGCAACGCAGCAGCCCCGGAGGTGCCCTGGCCCGGACTCAAGCCGGAGGCTCCCCCGTGTCGGCGACGCCCAACCCCTGGGCCGCGCCGGCTGGGCCTCGCTCGCTCGCTCGTCTCGGTGCTCGCCAGCCTCCAGCCCAGCAGACGATCCCCCGGGTCACACCGGTCACCCAGCGACAAGGTGTTCGGGCCCGAATCTCGCTGGGGACACAGACCGGGGACAGCGGAGCTGACCGGAGCACAGGTGGCAAGCCCGAGGCCCTCCACCTCGTGTCCAGCCCAGCGGCAGCGCCCAGCTCCGTGCCCCTTATGCCCATGCTGTCCTAAAACTGCGCCCCGCCCTTTGAGGGCAGCCGCGAGGCTGCTGTGGCCCCGGTGACCGTGAGTTTGACAGCCCTGGGCGAGAGCCTGCAGTGGAGGTCAAGGGGGTCGGCCTGAGAAGGTCCCGGGGAGGGAACATCAGGACGGCACGGGAGGTCGGGAGTCCCGGGCCCTCAGGCCCCTGGTCTCCGGGCTGAAGTCCCGCTTTGGTGCCTGCACAGGGAAGGGCCTGGCTGGGGCCGCGTCTCCTGAGCGCCCCCTGGAGGCTTCTCGTGGGAACAGAGTGGGAAGCTGGCCTCTGGGTGAGAGGGGGGTGTTTTCTGAACCCCTGACACAGAGCTGCCGTGTTGGGTGGGGAGCCTGGCAGGGCTGAGGTGCGTGTCTGCACGCAGGGGACGCTGGGCTCTTGGGGGGGCTGCTGCCCCGCCTCCCCGAGTCCAGCCCAGAGTCCCGGTCAGCGAGTGGCTGTCACCCCAGCTGTGACCAGCGCTCCGCTCTGGCCCCACAGAGCTTCAGCGGGTGACGTTCTCACCGTTCTGACCACCTGTCGCCCTCCCCCCATTTCCTCTGAAGTTCCCAAACATCCGAGTGGAAGCACTTCCCACGCAAACTGCAGTGTGGACGGAACCCGCCAGGGGACAAATCCGTGGAAGTCTCCTGTGCCTGTGGAGCACAGGACGCCGAGGAAGGCAGGAGCGAGAAAGCGTGGGAAACAGGAGGTGCTGGGGGACGGGGAGAAGTGGGGGGACGGGGTGCTGGTCGGGCCGGGCACGGCAGGGTGGGTCTCCACAGGGATCCCACGTCCCGTGCCACCGGAGGCTCTGGCTGGAGGGTGCAGTCCACCGGCCACCGCGCGCCGGGGCCAGACCCGCGTGGCACTTTCTGCCGTGACCGTGTGCAGAGCGAGGGCCCTGGCGTCGGAGGATGTGCCACGTAGGGTGGCAGCTCAGCCAGCCCTCGCCCACCCCCGGGGGCCTGTCCCTGTCCCGGACCCTCCCAAGGAAGAGCGGGGGAGGGGCGGCACGGTCTCGCAGCCTGTCGGGGACGGGCATCGGCGACGTGAGTGACAGAGTGACCTCACAGCGGACACGGAGAAACCCAGGGCATGGGGGGCCCCAGGGCAGGTGACACCACGGGGCACCAGCGTAGGCGGCACCAGATGCAGGGGGGTGTCAGCAGAGGGCCGGCTCCTGAGCCCCCCAGGGCCCTGAGAGGCATGAGGACGCGCAGTGGAGGGACCGGCAGAGAGGGACCAGCAGGTCTCCCAGAGCAGCACCCGCCCGGCGCCCTGGGCTCTGACCGGCTGGTGAAGAGGGGTGTGAGCAGCAGCAGGGGGACTCGAGCCCGGGCCGCAGGTCCGCGGCCGTCAGGGCCGGCGTCCTGTCCAGGGTCTGGCGATGGGGCTGCGGCTACGGCCCCAGAGGACGGGCCCTTCCCTCCCGGGGCGGCTCCCCACGGGGCACAGGATACTCACCGGACCTCACGGGCCTGCTCGGGCCGGCGCGCGCGTCCGAGGGGACAGGCTCTGAAGCTGCGTGACCAGCGTGTGGGGCTCGTCAGCTGGCCGCCTCACCTTTTCACAGGTGAGCCTTTTCCGTGATGAAAACGTTGGGGAGGGTGCCCACACACAGGGCGGACAGAGAGGCTTCGGCCGGGAGAGGCGGGGGGGGGGGGCACGCCAGGCTGTGGCGTCACCTCGCACGTCCAGGGGACACGGCATCGGACACTCGCAGGGACGGGCAGGGACCCAGGGTGTAGCTCCTCTGACAGTGGCCAGGGGGAGCCTCGGGCCACGGGCCATGGCCTCCCTTCCGACACGTGAGGTGGCCCTTACGTTTGCGTGTTGTCAGCGGCACACAGCACTGACCTGTCCCCCTGCTACAAAAACAACGTTCTACCTAAGCACACACCTGACTCCCAGTAACCCCGCCTTTGGGAGCGAGCTGGTCAGCGCCGCCTCGTAACGCAGAACCGCCAGCTGTGGGGCCAGGGCCAGCGCGGCAGCGGCAGCTGCTGGGACGGCTTGCGGTCCCAGCTCCTGAAGCCATTGCTCTGCCCCGACGCCGGACCCCGGGGACTGGGCCAGTGCCTGCCTGTTGCTGATCCTCCCGCGAGGGCCCCTGTCGCCCGCGCCGCAGCCTGCAGCCGCTGCGGTCGGGTGCGGGCGTGAGTGTGAGTGACGGGGTGCAGGTGACCCACTTGCCAAAGACGAATGCCAGACTCCCCGGCTGTGCTCGTGGCAGACGGAACTATGGCAGAAGCACCCACGGGGGCCTCCCTGGGCCGCCGCCGCCCCGCACGCTCTGTGGCAAAGGAGGCAGCGCGAGGGGAAGTCGTGAGGAACACAGAGTTCCGCAGTCTGCCACCCCTGGCCACCGCGGTCTCTCACCTGTTCTCGCCTCTGGTGAGTGCGTTCACTGTGGTGCACCCAGAGGAGTGGGGGGGAGGGGGCTTGCCCAAAATCGCACCTACGGTGTTATCGTCGAGGGGGCGAGTGAACGCACCCAAGCAGCAGGCCCGCTCCCCGCCCCCACCCCGGCCAAACCGGCCACCTCTGGAGCGGAAAACACAGCTGTGGGCCACCTTCCCGCTGCTGCCAGGGAACTCGGCAGCCCGAGAGGCATGAAGGGAAGGGCCCCCCGTGTGTGCTCAAGGGGCGTCTCTCCCGGAGCAGCGAGCCGAGGCCCCCGAGAGGCACCACGAAGACCTCAAGATGCGCGGCCGCGGCCCTCGGGCCCCCTTACCTGGAGGTAATGGCACGGCCTCAAGGGCGCCTTGATCTCCTGGTGCGCCAGGGGCTTGTCCAGGTTCAGGGAGCTCTTGCGGTAGGCCTCCTTGGCCTGGCTCACGGTCAGCGTGGACCAGGAGCTGCGCTTCATGTACTTGGTGTCGGGCGTCAGGGCCAGGCCCTCGCAGGCGGAGCACTTGACGTCGTTGTTACTCCGGGACGTCTTCAGGGAGAGGTCCCCGAAGGGGCCGGGCAGCGGCTCCGGGTAGCAGTGGGACGCGTGGTCCGCCAGGTGCCGGTGCACCACGCTGGAGGCCCGGCAGGTGCTGTCGCTGTCCAGGTTGTCATCAGAGCTCCACCAGCTGCTCAGGCCTGACCTGTGCTTGCCCTCGGGCTTGCGGTCCTTGCTTTTGCTCCGCTTGCTGTGCTTGGAGTGGTGGCCGTGGTGGTCCTCGCCCCGGCCGTCGCCCTTGGCCCCGTTGGCGTTGCCCTTGGAGGAGCCCTCCAGGGAGTGGGACTTGGTGAAGAGCTTCTGCACCGAGTGCACCAGGTGCCGGATGCGCCCCGGGCTCTCTCCGCGCGGCTCGTTGGCCGAGGAAGTCCTCTGGTACTGCAGCGTGTGGAAGCCGTCCCTGTGCAGCGGGAGCTGCTTCTCGAACTGGTCCAAGAGGTTGGCAGGGATCCGGTTGGCCTTGGCGCTGGCGTGGGGCCCAGCGCAGTCGTCCCTGGTGTCGTAGTGGGAGCTGTAGTGCATCCTGGGGAAGGTGCTGCTGGACACGTGGTCGGCCAGCACCAGGGGCAGCATCACGCACTCGGAGTGCACGGAGCTGCGCGGCGAGCAGCGGCGGTGCTCCAGCGGGCAGCCGTCCCCGGGGCTCAGCAGGTAGGGCTGCCGCGCGTCCGGCCCCAGCAGCAGGTCCTCGGGGGGCGCGAGCCCGCAGGTGTGGCCCGAGCACAGCGGGGGTGCGTTCCGGCTCCCCGACAGCCCCTTCATGGTCCTGGGGGCTGGGGAGTACCTGTCCTCATTGAAGTGCTGGGCGGGCGACCACGAGTACTGCTGGTCTGTGGAGAGAACACAGGGGTGCCGGTGAGCCTCGCGCGCAGGGGGACGGGCCCCGCCCGGGAGCTGCTCTCTCCGGGGGCCAGCGGTCCCTCGGTCTGGGCATCTGTGGGCAGTGCGTTTTTGTGCCACGACCAACACTGCCGAGGGCAAGGGTCTCGGGGAGAGTGAGCCGCCATGACCCATGACTGCACAGGGACAAGCCTCTGGTGTCCCTGCTTGTGTCAGGCCCCTCGACGGCAAGACTTCGGGGTGTCACACAAACTGGGGGGGAATGAGTTGTACTCAGTGAGGTTGGAGTGTTATGTGCCTATATACATGGTGGTAGCATGAATACAGGGGAGATCCTCAGACTCTACCACACAGCACGTGCATGTAATGCACATCGGTGGTCTGAGTGTACGAGGTCTGTCTGCAGAAAGTCAGGCATTGGTAACACAGTGAGCACAGGGACGTGGCCTGGCAGCCAAGGGCAGTGGACCGGAGTGCGCGTGTGTGAACGACCACCCCACTGTACCAGTCGGTGGGGGCAGCGGGCGCTGTTGAGTGCGCAGGTGTGGCCGATTCCTGCTGCCCTGCTTCCCAGCAGCCAGATTGTAACCAGAGCTGTTCAGTATCCGAGGAGAAGACGCTGCGGATGACATTATCGTGTGATGCAATTAAAAGCACGTTTTCCAAGGAACTGCAGCATTCCCCCGACACAGGGCAAGAGCACGTGCTGTAATCTGGACTTCACAGCCGCGTGGCGTGGTCGTCCCTCAGCTTCTGCTTCATTTCCCCATTCACAAGCGATTTAACGGGGTCCCAGTCTTCCTCCCTGCGAGGCAGCCCGTCACTGTCCTCCGCTACGGCTGCCCGGTGTCTGGCCCAGGGGCTCTGTCATGACTGTGGCCGGGAAAGGCGCTGAATTTGCACTGCAATGAGTGCAATCTGTTCATGCGACTTGCTGGTAACACAGGCTCTTTGCTGCCGCAATGGAGCGACCCCTGGGGGGAGCGCAGGGCCCGGCGGCAGCTCCTGAGGCAATGGCGGTCGCAGCGCGCGCAGTGCCGGTGTGCTGGGGGCGCACGCAGCAGCGAGGGTGGGCGCTAAGGGTTTCCCCAGGAAGGGCTGGGACAAACCAGGACGACGCAGGGGCTGGCAGCGTCTCCTTGTGAGACGGATGATAGACATCCGCGTGAAGGCATCTCGATTCCTAATTCCCAGCTTTCCACGACGCCATTTTTGTTATTGAGCGACAGAAAACAGCGGTTACCGTCGTTCTTCATCCACCGCCACCTTGGATTTAAGCTGCCAGGGAAAGGCATGTTTCCCGTCGGGTTTCCCGCGGGGTTTCCCACGGCTGGGGCCAACTAGTCCCGGAGGTGTGTTTTGAGTGCGGGAGTGAAAACTTACAACCAGCTGGCGTGCACGGCCTCCTGCGCCCCTCGCAGCCCGGGCGGGGGAGGCAGGGGTCCCCTCCGCCGGCTCGGAAAACCAACGCTAGAGGGCGCAGGCTGGTGAGGGTGCTGAGGTCCTGCACTCGGGGACGTCACATGCCCGCGTACGCACCCATGCGCGCACGCGCACGCGCACGCACGGCATTATAGCTGCACCAGAACCCAGGCACCCAGCTCCAGGTGGCTGCATCCTGTCCCGGGCTGCTGATGAATGTGGGGGGCCCCTGGTGCCCTTTCCAGCAAAGGCCGCTGGGGGTTCCACCCCAGCACTAGCCTGAGCCCCCTGGGCTGGGTGAACCCCGGACCCCGTGGAGCCGTGCCCCCACCCACTTCCGGGTGTGCGGTGCCGACCCCCTGGGGGTCCCGCCCTGCTGAGGACTCCAGCCTCGCCTCCTTCTGCCTGAAGCCCCCGTAACCCCTGTTACCAACCTGCCTGCGTTTCATCTGATTTATCTGGGTCCGCCCCGGGGGGGGGGCGGGGGCGGTGACAGACCCTCCACTTGTGCTGTTTGGCCTTGTCACCCTCCTTAGAACATTCTCTGCAGAAGCCTGCTTTTGCGTCGGCTGATCCACACGGACCAGCGGTCCAGCCAGAGCAGCCGGGCAAGGAGAGGAATAAAAGGCTCCCAGGAAGAGAGGCAGGTGTGCCTGTCTCAGCTTGGAGACGTGCGTTCCTCTGCAGAGAAAAGTCCTCTGAACCCACGAAGAAGCTACTCAGGCTGATCTCAAGTTCAGCAGAGCTTCAGGCCGCAGAGCGAAACTCAGGAATCAGTTGTGCTTTCACACGTCGACAGGGAACCATCCCAAAGTGAAACTCGGAAGCCGCCACAATCGCAGTAACCTTGGAGAGACTGGCACGCCCGGGCTGCATCAGCAAAGCAGGCGAGAGAGCTGCGCCTGGACACCCGGAAAGCAGGGACACAGGAAATTAAAGACCCAAGTGAACGGGAAGATGTCTTGTGTTCCTGGGCTGGAAGGCTTGAATCCTTTTAAGATTTCTATGCTCCCCAAAATAGCCTGGGAAGTCAACACACCCCCATCAAAATCCAGCTGGCTTTTTGCAGAAGTGGACAAGCCAGTCCTCAAGTGCATCTGGAAAAGAAACGGGCCCCGAAGAGCCAAGGTCACATGCACAAGGAGGACAGAGCTGGGAGGCTCACGTCCCGACTCCGAAACTTGCTGCAAACTACAGTCATCCGAAGAGGCTGGTGCTGGCATGGGGGGCAGCCGGAGACCAAGGGCGCAGAGCTGAGAGTCCAGAAACGGAAGCGTACGTGTACGGCCCACGCGGCTCTGCGAAGGGCGGCGAGACCATGAAATGGGGAGCGATGCTCTCTTCCACAGGCAGCGCCGAGACAGCCGATGTCCACGTGCCAAAGAGTCAAGCTGCACCCCCTGCCTGTCACTACCTGCGAACAGGCACTCAAGGTGGGCTATAGAACCGAAGACGGACATGAAAGAAGAAAACCCTTCGGAGAAAACAAGCATCTTCCTCCGTGAATGTGGTGGATCAGGTGATGTTTTCTTAGATGATGTCATCAACGGCACAGGAAAGAAAAAAAAGAAAAATGGACTCCCTGAAACTAAGAACTTGTGTGCTTTGCAGCCTTTCCTCAGGAAAGTGGAAAGATAACCCATAGGACGGGGAACATTTCTTGTAAACCATATATCTGATGAAGACACCGCGTCTGGAACGTATAAAACAACCGATATAACTCAATTATAAAAAGGCAAATACGTCCAATAAAAGTGGGCAGAGGAGCTGAGCAGACATTTCTCCAAAGAGATTTTTTAAAAAGCCAATAAGCCCACGAGAAGCTGCTCAGTCAGCAGCCCCCAGGGTGTGAGGCAGCGCTCCCCCCACCCCCCGGGATGGCGGTGGGAAGAGACAGATGGCGGCTCGTGCTGGCGAGGACGCAGAGGAAGCGGGACCCCCTCGCTGCTGGGGGTGTACGATGGGGCGCTCGCTGGGAAAACCACCGTGCTGGCAGCTCCTCAGAGACGCAACAGAGTGAGCGCACGGCCCAGGACTCCCGCTCCTGGCGTGCACCCCGGAGAGAGGGAAGCACACGCCACGCAGCAACCTGTACGTGAGCAGCGTTCACAGCGGCACCCTTGGGGCCAGCGCCGGGCAGCACACAGCCCAGACACCCACCAGCTGGTGAGTGGACTGGCCGCAGGGGTCACCCCCACTCAGTGGACTCTCGCTGGGCAGTAGAAGCCCGCTAGGTATGGAAACGTGCCATGGCGTGGGCGAACCTTTGGGTCACCAGCTGCGTGAAAGAACCTGCTGTACATATGTGTACACGTATGTGAAGAGCGTGGAATGGGCAAGGCCGCAGACGCAGAGCACACCACGGTCTGCAGGGGTCTGGGGCGGGGCGGGACAGGGATGACTGCCGAGGGGGCGGGGGGATGAAAACGTTCGAGACTGGGGGCGGGGATGGCCGCACACATCCGTCCGTGTGCCAGGACCACGGCCCGTCCGGCCGGTGAACCAGAGCCCCAGGAAGCGCTGAGAAAGGGACAGAGACGCCCCAGGGACGAGCACAGGAGGACACAGGCTGTGAATCGCCCGTCTCCGCGCCCGGCAGGGCTCAGCGAGAGAGAGGCTGCGCGGCCCAGTTCGGTCCTCCGTGTCCACGTGCCCGCAGGCGGCCCTGGGGCCCAGGCAGGTCCCAGCGCCCCTGCAGGGCCCTCACGACATCACCGGTGTCTCCGCTCCTATTTACCTTTCCCGGATCGTGACTCAGACCTTCGTGCCATCAGCTGGTTTTACGTGTTTCTGTCCGTTGCTGTCTTACATTCTCATTAAAGAAAACAAAGTATAATTGAGTAAACGCGTGAACTTCCACCAGCCAGTCTGACGACGTGAGTGCAGTTCTGCGGCGAAGGGCTGAGAGCTGGTCGGTCGTCTGCCTGGACGACTGCTGAGCACGGTGTTCAGGCCGCTCCCGGGTGCGGGGGCGGGACCTCCCCCCCCACCTGGGTTAGGACTTCCCACCGAGACCCGGTCACCCAGGACCTGGCCCCGAGCGGCTCGCTGGTGTCCCGTGATTCCTCTCTCGCCTTCGTGTCCCTGGTAGTTCACAGCCTTCGGACCTGGGCGCACGCATGTCAAGGACGACCCCCGGCATTCCCCAGACGCAGTGGACTGGTCGTCCCTCTGTAAATGCCAGCGGCTCCCGCGGGTCACGTCCCGAGTGCCGTCCTCGGCCGACTCCTGTGGCACCGAGTCCCCCACCAGCTCTCTGATCTCTGAGAGTCACGTCGGCACTCAGCAGACGTCCTTGAAGCAGACCCTGAGTGCCCCTGCCTGGCGAGCGAGCCACTCCACGTGGGTCTGGTTCAGCACAGAGGACGGGAGCCCTGGCTGCTGGTCGGGGTCGGGGGTGGGGGCGCACGCACACCCCCGACCAGACTCCAGGGCAGGAGTTGCTCAGAGCGGTGAATGGCTCCTGTCGCCGAGGTTCCTGAGCCCTTTGAAGAGCAGCCTCTGTCAGGGACCCCTCGCCACTTCTGAGCGGTGAGCGAGGAGTTGAGTTCAGCTCACAGGGCCCTGCTGTGCTTTTAGTCGCTTCTGTCTGCTCTTTCCCTCCGGTGGCTTGTTAAGTTCCGTCACGAGGCTGTGGCCTCGGAGTCCCCGCGGGGTCACGGCCCTGGCAGAGGCACTGCTGTGCGTCCACAGCGGGTTCTGACGTCCCCGAAGCCCTCGGGGGCGGCCGAGGGGCCCGTCCCTCGGGGTCACGGACTCACAGCCACGCACGGGCAGCGGTGACAGCCCCTGGCGGGTGTCCAGACAGTGGCTCACGGGCCCCTCCTCTCCCCACTGACGGTGAGTTTGGCTGTTCGCTCAGGATGCAGGCAGCTGCGGCCGGGCGTGAGGCCAGCGAGGGCAGGAGCGTGGTGGCAACAGGCAGCTGGGAGGCAGGCAGGTGTGGTCTGGGGCTCCCCCAGAGGTATCCGGGAGGGGCTCCAGGCAGAGCGAGTTCCGGGACCCCGAGGTGGGGGCCTTGGGTCAGGAGCAGCAGTTCCTGCTGCCGAGCTGGAGCCGTGGCCACCACGGCGGCGGAACCAGCAAGGGGGGACCCGCCTCGGGGAGCCGGCACAGAGCGGCAGGGCCTTCGGTGGGGGAATGAATCGCATCCTCTTCCTCGGGTCCCCGGCCCCCAGGCACCCCGGGGGAGACGGCTCTGCCACAGTGAAGTGGGGGCCAGCTCGGCGGCCACGCAGGATGCCCGGGTCCGGGCGGGGTGGCGGCCGCCGCCTCCTCGGGGCCCCAGCTGCCCGTCACCACTGGACACGGCAGGGGCTCAGGCCCGTCAGCAGCAGCAGCAGCAGCAGCAGCAGCAGCAGGGGCTGTCAGGGGCTGTCAGGGTGCTGTCCCCGAGGCCCTCCCGCGCCTCACCTTTGGAACGGCACAGCGACCCCCGTTCCAGACCCCCTGGGGCCCAGGCTTCCCCCAGAGTGGAGACCAGAGGGCCCCCCCGTGCGGTCCTGCCCCCGACGCCTCCTCTCCGTGCTGCCAGTGCTGACCGCTGACTCTCCGTCCCCGCCAATGCGGGAGGAGGTGGGCCACCCACTTCCCTCTCAGCCAACCCCGCAGGTTCCCCCCTCGGCTCCCTCCCACCTCCCTGCCCCGCCACCCCGGGTCCAGGGACACCCCTTGTGTCCCTTCGATTCATTGTGAACGCTTATGATTTGTCTCATGCTGTGTCACACATACTGCTAATTCCACACACATGCACACACGCTCACACACGCTCTCTCACGCACACACATCAGTAAATACGGTTATTGGTTTCAGAGAAGAAGGAAGGGAGAGGAAGAGGGAAACATGGGTGTGAGAGAGAAACACCCATCGGCCGCCTCCTGCACGTACCTGACCAGGAATCGAACCCACCGCCTTCTGCTGCACGGGGTGACGTTCCAACCACCCGAGCCCCCTGGCCGGGGCGGTGGGAACCAGCCTCATCACCCCCACCCCCCACCCGCTTCCTTTAATGAACCAGGCATCCGAGGCTCGTGGGAATCAAGCTGGGTGGGCCCAGGCAGGCAGGGCCCACGCACGCCCGGCCTCATCCCCGTCGTCCAGGCCCCGTGGGGGCCACCTGCCCAGTCCGGCCTCCGTGCCTGCCGCGTCCTGAGTCTGCGGGTCACACAGCACGGCGAGCACTCTACACGGGAGCCTAACACACGCTCACGTGTGGACACACACGCACACACAGCACCCATTCTCACGTGGGATGTACTTCGATGTTTTCTATTCTGTAAAGTCCACACATTCCTGTCCCGTGTTGTTTTTTATTAAAAAAATTTCTGGTAGTGACTCAGTAACGTGAATTCACAGCCCATTGAGCTGCAGCCTGCAGTTTCGAAATCTGCGTCGTGTAAATATAAACTATCAGTCTGTTCTTTTGTGTCAGAGCGGCAGAAAGTCACGTGACGTCTCGTCTCTGGCATGCACCCCTGACACGAACACAATAACGCGTGTCACCTGCCGTGGAAAAATAGAAACGGTTTACATGTGGGAAAAGTTAATACAATGAAATGCATGACGTATCTTCCTGGATGAGAAGGTGGGTTAAGCGAACTGCACTATTATTAAACATGCCCCCGCCTTCCTCACTCCCCCGGCCCCGGCCTGTTTCCGCCCGAGACCCCTCCGGTGTGACGACCGTCACTCACGCGTCTTAGGTGTCGTCAGCCTCCCTCACTGTCGTAGCTAAAGTGTCACTTCAAGGGGACGGCTTTGAAGGAGAGAGCGAGACTTCACAGGCGGCTGTTCCCGTCTGCGTGTGCGCGTGTCTGTGTGTCTACAAATACACCCGGAAATACCTCGATCCCCTCCCACGAGCCCCTTGCCCGCCTCCGTGGGGACACAGCCAGAGCCGCCTCCAGGAGCCGGGAGGGGGCCTCGCGGAACCTGACCTTGGCCTCGGCCTTGTTCCCAGCCTCCGGATGGCGAGGACTCGACTGTGTAAACGCCGCCCAGGCCAGGGCACGGGCGAGGGGCAAGCCTGCGAGCGCAGAGGCTGGAGGGAGCCCCAGCCGCCACCTCCGTGTCCGAGGCCGGAGCCCCGCCGCCGGGGGGCAGGCCCTGGAGCTGGTTCCTCCGGCAGCCAGCAAGGTCGGCGACTGCGCGCCCGTTAGAGGCCGACAGCCAGAGGGAGGGCAAGGGCGTGCGTTCCAGGATTCAAACCAAAAATCCCAGGACCCGCATGCAGTAGCTTGAAGGCTGGCTTTCATTGGTCTGTGTGGACATAAGCTTTTAACCCGAGGTTGTCGAGATGGAGTCCCCCTTTCTGAACGGTCCCTCGAACAACTGGCATCTCACCTTCCCACCCGTTTCTGTGGCGGGGCGGTCAGTCCGCCTGCCGCGTCCAGGGCAGGACTCCGAGGTGAAGGGGGAGGGGGTGGGGGAGGGGGGTCGGCTCCGCTAAGGGCGCCGTGAACGAACAGTGTCACTCCCCAGCCCTGCGGCCCCCGTTTCCCGAGACTTCCAGAAATCGACCTCCAGGAAATACTCGCGAATTCCTGTCTGACTGGACCATACACCGTCCTTCCTCTAAAATTGTTCCTGTTGTCCTCATTTCAAACGGAAAAGCGAACTTTTTTGGTTTCTCATTTTCTTTAAAAGGAATCACAGCTTCACACAAGTGGACTCCTTCAATTTTCAATATTATTCTTTTAAGTCAATCCCACGGGCAACAGATGGATGGGCGAAAAGACTCAAATGTGAACAGGAGTCAACCTGTGCGATGCAGCCCCGAGTGTCCGATGGCCGAGGCCGTCCATGGCACAGGTGCCAGGTGGGCACACAGAGCCCAGGGCCACCGCACAGTGACTTTTCTCACTTTCCGTCTGAGGTTGAGTTCACTCAACACCTGATTTTCTAACAGATTCTCGCCTTTCCATGCAGACACGACTCCAGGTCAGAGGACAAGGGCCCACTACGGCCCCAGCTTTCCTGTGTCTGTGCGGTGAAAACCCACAATGTCCGAGCGGCTTTCTCCAGCGCCAGACACACACAGCACGGCAGGGCTGGGGCTCCCTGGGAGACGGGGGCTCCCTGGGAGACAGGGCCCCGGGGAGTCGGCCTCCACCCCACAGCGCCCGCTGGGTCTGGGGTTTGCCCAGAGAAGTCAGCTCTTCGACGTCAAGGGGCCGAGCCACTGGCAACAAGGCAAAGAAAGGGCTTTCACGCCCCGGGGTTCACGCGGAGCAAGGCTCAGGCTCGAAGGAGACAGGAGGGAGTGGCGTCACACTGGCAGACCTGTGTCGGTGAGGCGAGGGACCTGCCTTCCTGACCGGCAGGAAGGTCATCGTCCGCCTTGAAAGTGAACCCACGGTGACCGGGGGGAACCATGTTCCCCCCCAGAATGCCGCGATGCCTATGAACTGCCGTGCTTTGGGACGTCACACTCAGTCTCCCTGGGACACTCTGCAGTCAGGCACATACATACATGCTGGGACGTGTGGGCAGAAGGGGTCACGGTTGCAGCCGGGCAGAGGCCGCGCCCCAGAGCCTGCGACGACCACCATGCATGACCGGGGCTGGTCCCGGAGCCCTACCTAGGTCCTCCTCCGCCGGCCCCGGGAAGCTGATGCCCGGCTGGACCAGGTCCCCGCCCTCTTCCTCTGCAAAGAGAGAAACAAAGTCACTGGTTAGTGTGTGTCCGCTGTGGCCCGAGTCACACAGCACCTCTTCGCCATGCCTTGCCCCGGACGCCCAAACCCGAGAGACACCCTGCGCAGAGCTGCGTCTGGTGCAGGAGCCCCAGGCAGACCCCCCGCCTCTCCCGAGGGCACTGCACCGCGGCTGCCATGCAGGGGCCAGTCGGGCCAGGGCGTCCCACCTTCACTCTGCCCCGCACCCGCCTTCTCTGACTTGGTCGGTGTCGGAACAGAGCTCTGTGGATGGCCTGTCGGCCCCGGGGTAGCCTCACCCCCTGTGCTGAGGGGTCTCCTCCCCAGGCCCTCCTCCCCAGCCCCTCCCCCCGGCATTGCCTCCTGTCTGGGTGAGGACGCTCGGTTCCCCTCGATGACCTGCCTGAAGGACAGAGGCAGCAGTGGAGGGTGGCGTCAAGTGGCAGCTTTTACCTGTGAAAATGTGCCCCCCGGTGTCACTGCGGCAGGCAACTGCCCCTCGTGGACACCAAGGGCACGGGCCAAGGAGCCAGTGGGGTCCCTGCGGGGGGGGGGGCAGCGGGGAGGGTGGACAGCAGGCCCTTGCGGGACCTGCACAAGGGACTCGCGGTGGACCCGGGTTCTGAAAGCCCGGGCGCTCCGACCGCTCGCCCGGCCTCCAGACCCTTCCCCTGCTCTCAAAGTTCCCTCCCACAGAAGGCACGCGCCAGCCCGCATGGCAGCGCCCCCCTGATGACAGCATCCGAGGCGGCTCCAATTAAGGGCTCGTTCGGCTCCGCGGGGACAAAGGCTCTGATTAGCCCGCGCCTCGCTTCCGCCCCACCCAGGCCGCAGCTGTGCCTCCGCCGCCCTGGCGAGGGCTGCTGATGGCCCTCCTTTGACGGCTACAGAAACGCGCCTGATTCCGTTTTGGAACGCCGCTCCAGCCTCCGCAGAAGCTGCCCCTAAGTCTGCAGAATTTTCACTGACACTGAAATGTCACCGGAGTCAGTCAGAGAGGGAAACTCAGAGCCGCTGATGAGGTGGCTCCGCTCCAACGGGGGAGGCAGAGGGCTCTCGGGGCAGGTGGCCGCGACGCCGCAGGGGGCGGGCGTGGCGTTCGCTCACGCGGGCTGCGGCCGGTGGGTCGCCCCCCATCGCCTGGTCCAGGCTTCGGGGACCCCGTCTCGCGAACCGTCGACGAATGCGCGTTCCAACGAGTCACAAAACCACCGTCCAAGGGACTCCAGTTCCGGCTGAGAGCCACGCACACACAATGTCAGATCTCTCTGGACTCAGAAAAGACGAAAACGCTGGAGCGAAAAGCAGGCTGTTTCTGATTTAAATATCTGAGAGCTTCACGACGAAACTGTGTCTGTCTGCTGTTAAACTTGAACAGGCTTCACTTCAGAAGTGACATTAATTATATTTTACATAAGATGTTTTGAATCTAAATTCCAAATGAGGGCAGCGTTCACTCTGTCGCCATGCCATCTGCATTTAATAAGGTTTTGCACTGATTTCGCTGAAGATGCACCCATCGTGTTCCAACCGGAAGCGCTATTTTTAAGGCGGAGGGACGGGCTCTTTGCAAAGCTCAGACACACCTGGCTTCATGCTAGGGGGTGCCACTGCCACAGCTGCGCTCCGGCCACACCTCAGCGGCCAGATCTCCCGGCACGGAAACCAGCCCGGTCCTGTCTCTGACCGACGACGGCTCTCACACTGGCCACCCTCGAAGCCCCGCAAGGCTGCTGCTAACACGCCGCACACCATCAGACCTGCCACTCAGGGGCACAGAGGATGACTTCCGGTGTGTTGTGTCCCACGCAATTTCCGCAGTTTATCTGAGATTCGGTTACAAGGACGGTTCCCGCACGCAGGAAGCCCGGCTCCGTGCGGGACCTGCTGTGTCCCCCCCAAGGCTGAGATTCCCCAGTCCCGCCCCCTGCGGAGTGAACAGAAGCCCCTGACTAAAGCCCCCGGTCCCCTCTGTCCTCTGGCTAAAAGCAGGAGCCATGGCCGCCCACCACCCAGGGATGGGGGGCAGGCGGGGCGGGGAGGGGGGCCGGTGCTCTCAGGATCATCGGCTTCGAGTGCACAGCAGCAGGGGCGTCCCCGCCCCCTTTTCCACCTGCTTCCCAGACAGGTGCTCGGGGTATGTTCACCCCAGACGCACACGCATGCTCAGTGCCAACTGTAAACGCTCTTAAACCCTTTATTCCGCACGCGGTCTTCATTTCCTGCTCTTGGTGGGTCTCTGTCGCCTGGCCCGCCCCCTCACCCCCCACAGGACCGCCGCCTCCCGTGTGACCTGTGGTTGGTCGTCCGGGACCCCGGACCCCTGCACACCCACGGCCTGTCCCGTTCTGCCGTGACAACGAGTTCTGATCCGCGTCCCCGGGCCTCGCCGTGACTCACGACGGCCACGGTGGGTGTCGACAGACGTGCTATTTAAACATTTGTCACAGACAACAGGTAAGCCTGGCTCACTGTTGCTCCCCAGCAAGTCCCGCCGCCACCGGCGTCAGCTGCCCCGTGACCCCGGTGCACCCCGAGCTCGCTCGCGGGGACAGGTTCCAGCAGCACCGGGTCACCGTCCCTTTTCCAGGCCCTGGGAGTCCAGTCTCCTTGCTGTGAGGAGTCACGCGGTCCTGGGTCTGAAGCCGGGCTGGGAAATGGCTGTGCTGCCGCTGCGCCAGCCCAGTGGCCCCGATATTGTCTCAGTCCACCCAGACGGCTGGTCTGGGTCACCCTGCCACCCTGGGGCGCAAAGCCCGACGCTCGAGCTGGGACGTCCCAGTTTTCCCATCATACATGGGCCATGAGGTCAGCAGCCGCACAAGTGCCGGGCGAACGGCACGCTGGTGGCACAACGTGGGGTTCTGACAGGCAGGGCCCATGAGTGACAGCCCTCTAACGGGAAGGCCACCTCACCCGGTCAGACACCTCTGAGGTGTCACCTGCAGAGGGAGAGCAGGGACAGGTGCCCTGACTCTGAGGCCATTGCGCCTCCCAGACCCCGCCGTCCCCTCCTGGTCGGGGAGGGTGCTGAGCAGACTGCCTCCCAGAGAGGGGCCTTCCGTCGCCAAGGCAACCACCCTCAGAACCCCTTGGGATGACGCCTCCCTCCACGGCAAGTCCTCTCAGGGCCCCAGAGACCGGGGAGCAGCCCCTGGGGGTGGGGGGCTGAGGTTGCCGCCTCCCCCGAGTGACCCAGGCCCCCCACGCCGCTTCCCTTTGCCCGAGGGTGACAACGCACAGCTGCTCTCGGGAACACGGGCTACACGCTGGGCCAGGACATGCGCGTCACAGCTTGGGTCTGACTCAGGGAAGTCCCCAAGGGGAAGACGGATGTCTCGGGTGTCCCTGTGGTGAGACCACCACTGCGTTCCTGGGGGAGGAGCTCCAGCGAGTGTGAGCACGAGCCCCAGCGGGTCTCAGCAGGACTCAGCCTGACTCAGCCGGAAACACGCCCGCTGCGCCTGAGCGAGGCCCTAGAGAGTCAGAGGGCACACGGGAGGGACCCCACAGGTCCCCGGGGCCCCGCCCGAGGCAGGAAAGGACAGCAGGAGCATCCCAGGAGCAGGTTCAGTCTGTGACACGGCCGGCCCGGGACCTGCTGGAGGGCGGCACTGGGCCTGGGCTGTCTTCCTCGCGCAGGCGCCTGGAGCCGGGGCCGCAGGGGGGCTCGGGGGACCGTCTGGGCGCCTCCTCGCAGGGTCACTGATGCCCAGCAGCGGCGTTCTGCGTTCCAGCCACACGCAGGTGGGCGGGGCTTCCCCGGAGCATCTTTACCCCTGACGTAGTTAGTGAGCATTGCCCTGGGCCTCGGTTTCACACAGTGGGGGGCCTTGCTGTTGGGTGTTTGTGCCCCCTTTGTGGCCCAGCAGGGTGGGGACAGCCCCACGGGAAGGCGGCTCTGGGCCCCAGGATTTCCTTGCTCTGCAGGAGCACCGGCCAGCTCTCCCTTCCGCTCGGTCCAACTCTGGCAGAGGGACCCCGGAAAACAGTTTTCTTCTTATTGAAGAAAAGGCACTGCTGAGATTTTCTAGAGAGAAAAATAAAGGAACCTGAAAATTGGATTTTCCCATGTGGTTAGCAAGAGAAAAAGACCTACAGACCAAACTCTAGAAACATCACCCAATAGTTGGTGACAGCGAATCCTGTTAACGAACATCTCCTTGACTTCCGGTTCCTGCCCAGTGACCCCCCGGGGCATCGGGCACTGGGGACGGTCAGTGCTGCTGTGAAGGGCCAGGGTGGGTGGTGACAGGGCAGAGTGGGGGTGATTAATCCTGCCCCTCATCCCTCCTCCCCAACATCCAGCAACAAATGAAAGGGCTCCTCCAGACCACGCTGCTGGGGACCACGCTGTCCTCTGATGGACCCAGGGCCACCGCAATCGGCGCTGCTGCGTAAGCTAGGGACACGGATGGAGACAGCGACCGCTCTGTGTCACCTCTCCACAGAGGCACGGGAATGACAGCCGAAACCTGCCTCCTCCTTCAAAGATCCCACCCACCGTGAAGCACCACTGACACAGACCGGGTGAGGATGAGGAAGGAGGGCTGGCAGGCAGCCTTGCCCGACTGCTGCCGCAAGATCAGAGACCACACCGAGGGCTAAGTCACAGCTGGGGGGCTGGAAAGGCTGCCAAGAAGGAAAAGAAGAAATCACAGGCCCCCGAGGGAGCAGGGCTGACTGGCTCCACCCACCGACACAAGTTCCGACCAAACTCACGGCATGAATGAGGTGATCGGGACTTTGTTCAGATGCAGGCGTGATCTCATCGGCATAACGGGGTGCCAGTGCTGCAGGAAAGACTTCCCCCGACTGCCTGCCTCGGACACAGGCTTGGTCCCCAAGGCACTGCCCAGAGCACACCTCACAACTGTGCCTGGTGACCTGTTACTGTTCAATCCTGCGGTCTGTGCCCAGAGTTACTTCTGAAAGAACAGCACAGAGTAGGTCAGGACGTAATGGGACAGGAGGGGACGGGACAGGGCAGC